TTTTCTGTTCCCACACAGCTTGCACAACGGTAATACGCTGGTTATGCTCTGCTGGTTATCTTCATTCCACCAAGTTTCTGATGCATCTGTTATGCCAACTAGCTTCTTTGAAAATAGGCATATTTCTCCATCTCACCTTTTAAACCTCCACTATGATTAGCAGAGTTGCCTATTTTTCTACATCCTCTTTAAATAGGGTTTGTTCAACTGCTACAGACTATTTGTTGTGTGAGTTTTGTCAGCTTCCACCCCATTCTTCATTTGAGGATGCAGTGATTATCGATATCGTCTGTAAAGGATGCATTGTCCCAAACAGTGCGTTATTTCACCTTGCCAGCTTTTCCCTAGTTCTCTGTTTAGAAACTACTTTATAATCTCTTGATTTGCGTGTCAGCAGCCTGCTTTTGTTTTGGTTCAGAAAATGCCTTTTATTAAATAAAGGATCTTTTTATATCAAACATTCCCCAGTTCATAAAATAATCTAAATCTCCCTCTTTATTACACAATTTTCTTAACTGTGCACGACAGCTTCTGTCTGACACCACACACGCTATGGGTAGCATTTCAGACAATGCTACCATTGAGCTGCTGGTATCTAGGCTTCACCTGACTGCTTCAGTTCTGCCTCCAGAGCTTGTCTCCTTGATGCCCCAGCTGCTCCCCCAGCTGCTCCCAGTAGATTGCTGGGTCCTGTGTGCACCACAAATCCAACTGTTTCGGTGGTGACCAGCAATCCCATTACTCACCAGGAGTGTTTCTAACCTTTTGCTGTCAGCTGAGATTCCCGTCCCTGAAGGAATCACATAGCCATCATCCTCCAGAGACTTCTCTCATTCTCAGCAACACTGGGACTGCTTAGACTGTGCTGGTGGGTTTTGTGATACCCCTTAAGTCCCCTATCACCGAGTCTTTCTGCCTCCCCGAACTCTTCAGACAGCACCTTGGCCTCAGACTTACATGCCACCCACCTGCTGGTAATTGTAAATATGATACTCAGTGCGGAAAACTGGAAATAGCATTTCCTGCGTTTTGTCCTACTTTCACCCTCTCTCTTTTGGGTAGGAGGAAAAAGGACAGGGTACAAGTAGGGAATTGTTTTCTTTAGAGGAGTGATCGATTACTTTTGTTTATTCATATCCATGGCCAATAATCTACCTAGTTTTGTTGTTGTTGCTGTTGTTGTTTTGATCAGTGATAGGGATGGAGAACCTGAAAACCTCCTTACCCAACAGTCAGTTTGTTTGCTCCTCAGTTTCCGAGCTATGCTCAACACAAGCTGAAATCTATTCAGGTACCCAACCTTAATAAATTGGTGGTAGTTTAACAGTACAGGCATACCTGCAGGATCAGATACTGCTTGAATTAAAGGTATTTAAATTTATGAATCTAAATGCTAGAATCATATTTGAACTACACGTCTAAACTCCCACTGTGATCAACGGAGATTCGCCACAGACAAAACAGCCAAGACAGCAATTCATCTCATCCTAAAGCACATACCTATACCTACTCTGAGCTTCGTGGACTGCAACAACTAGGGGCTCAGATTAGTCATTTAAATATGGATATTCAGCACCATTTTAAGTATTTCAGATGGTGCACTGGCCTCCAGCTGCCACTCAAGAAGAGAAATGGGTCTCCCATGGGTCCTCTGTCGTATTTTCCAGCTCCATGCCGATATCTCGGGCATCAGCCACAGCTTTAGACACCTGCAGCAGGTAACTGCGTCCAGTCTTAGCCCTCCACTGCCTGTAATGGGTGTTCAGATATTTAGCTCATATGTAGATACCTACACTTAGACTAAATTTAGGTGATTTAAACTTGAGCTGAATCCCAACCCACTCTCTCAGAGCTGAGCCTATCAAAAGGAGTTCACCAATGTTTTTAGCTAAATTTGAATCTCTCACCATTGTATGTGAAAATAATGGGTTACTTTTCAAGATACTTATAAAAGACTGCTCTACTGTGACAAATAGGTAACCCCTCTATTTAATACCTGGTACTGAACACTTGTAACCCTTCAAACACGAGAGTTGCAATATTAGTCTCAAGGCAAGTTTCTCTCAGGCTTTTACTCTGCCTCCGACAGCATGATTATTTACTGTCTTGTAATAGCTGTTTTTTTAACAATTTAGATCTCCAATTCTATCTCCTCTTGTTATAAAAGTAGACAGATAGATAGCATTTGTACTAGGCTTTAGCAAGCAACTAAAATAAGATACCCCTGGTTTTCAATGCCAGAGTTTAGAATTTCTTTCTAAAATAAATAGCTTTTGTATTATCAAATTTCATTGTAAACGAGCAAACAAAAAACTCACACATGTTCAAAAACAAGGAAGTGCCTCATCAGTTTAAGGAAAAAAGGAAAGAGACCAGAATGTGTGACACTAGTCACTTAACTAGGTTATTTTCCACGGGAGCTATTCAAAAGATCTTTGCAACTGCCATTAAACTAGGAAGTCCATATTATTCCCCATTTGCTCTCAGGGCTTTGATTTAAGAAGCTTTTCTTACTCAACTTCTGTTTATTATAATGAGTTACAAAAGTCACATTTCGTATAATCAATATTGCTTTGACATCATTACCTTGAAAAGTATCAGAGATTTTGCTTTCTTTATCTGTCATGCTTGCATTTAGGAAATCAGTCACTCTAAAGCTAAATACCAGGAAATAAATTAGTCTCAGGCAGTTGTCTAGGTTAACTAATGTCAATTCATGTTATTTCCAAATATGAAATGCAAAGGATAGCTGAAAATAAAAAAGGAATTCCTACTCTGTGTACTTAAAAAGTCTCTTTTTTCCTGGTGAATTAACATCTTGCTCAGTGAGCAGTCCTTTTGGAGTCATGGACTGAAATACCAAGTACTCTCAGCAACAGCTGCAAATTAGATGTCTAATTTATCTTAATATCTAATCCAAATCTGTATATACAACAAGGACACACTCCAGATGTGACTTTTAAAGTAGTTCCCAACATTTTAATATAGTGTAAAAGTAAAATACTAATGTAGTACAGATAATGTATCTTATTGATATAGACAGAAATTCTCAAAACTGCATTCCTTGGAGGAGAGCACCTTATTGCAGAAAACTGGCCCGTGTCCATACTCTACTAAGGATTGGAAAATGCAGTTTCAAAAGCTTCTCAGATAAATTATTTTGTAGTTGAGCGATTTTTTGAACGGAATCTGGATAACACTACCACTAAAACTTGGCTTAGAATCATATGAGCCCAATCAAATATTGGCTAGTAACATATATATGTTTAATTTTAGTAAAGAAACATTGAAAATGCTATTTGTTAAGTTTCCTGCTTCAGTCATGGCAAGTCCTGATCGAGCCTTCCTTACTGATTCCATGCACAGAGAAGCAGAACGAAGGTTCCCGTTAGTGATCTCATCACTATTAACTGTGAAGGATCTCAAGTGAAAATTGTGCTTTTATTTATGACCCTTGTCAGTGAAACATGAATAAGTCTTCAGACGATGCTCAGATGCTTCAGATGATGGTCCAAAAGAAGACAAATGGTACTAACCCAGCTTTTTCTAGTATCACCTGCCAAGAAATGTTCCACTAATACTAGATATGCCTTTCTATTAACTCAAGATAGCATGGCATGCTAACAGTAAACGGAATTAAAGAAAAAATACACAGGGCATATCACAGAGTCAGATAAAAGGTAATGCTTCCTAAAAAGCAATCTTTTCCAAGAATCTGTCCTTCATGTACCAGAAACTTGGTTGGTCTATAGTCACCCTTGAGTAAGCACCTGCAAGTCCATACAATTCTTTGGAGCAAACTCTTTGATTATATAATATTTTCCTATCTATTAAATTAAGCTGAATGAATGAAAAAAATTAAAATACTTGTGTAGTATTAGCATACTTCCTTGTAGTGGTAAAATGTCCATGGTTGAGGTATGAACTAAAACATTTTCGGCCTTATGTCCTTCATATTCTATTATTATCTGTAGAAAATTATTTGAATATAGAAAGTGGAAAATACAGGAGTGCAAGTTGTACAGAAGAATAAATCATAGAAATTTATCAATCACTGGATGTGATAAATGAGTTTTACATGCACACAGCCAGAAAAGCTCCTCCTAATGAGAAAGTTATAAAGAAAAGGCAGCTAAATTGTGCACTACATTGTCCCTGCATATGTTTGCACCCTTCTTTTTTTTGGCCAAACTATAATGTATTTCCTGACCAAGTTGGGTTACAAAGTTGCGTTCTAGAAAGTTATAAAGACTTGCACATCTTACCATTAGATGTTCTCATCTGCTGCCGTCGCCCAACTCGATCGAGGCCGATAGGGGTACTCTGTGAAAAGGTGAGCGGCCGGAACCTGGCTGAAACGGCTTTGTACGGGGGGACCTGGTGTGCTGGCACAGGTGGCCGTGCTGCTGCCTACAGAGAAGAAATGAAAATCCAGTATTAATAACCAGCGCTACGAGCAAGTCGAACTGAGTAAAACACCTGCATGAAATGAGCTTCTTTCAGATACTCTAGCTCATTACAGGGCAGTAAACATCCCTACTTCAAGCACCTATGCCATCGTTTAAACACTGCGCTTCATATCCATCATCATCACAGTCAATATTTGATAACGTTACGGTTCTCCATTTTATTAAAAGCTCCATAACCTTCTGGTTGATCAAATACGCTCTAATAATTTTCAGCTTGTAATGCTCTATGCCTAAATGCTCTGGAATCTAACTGATTCCACAATGGTTTGCACGATGCAGATTGCCATTGTAAATATGCAACTGAAGAAAAACCCCATGGTGAGAAAATGACAAAAAACTCCAGAGTGGGAAGTTGTGCTCATTTCCTGGGATGCTTTCTTTCTTCAAATAAACGTCTTGCTTTTAAGTAAAATAAGCACGTTCTACAAGGAAGCCAAAAATAGTTGTTTAAATGCTTAGAAGATCTCAGGAG